GTCAGGTCAGCACGTTTGAAAGCGGAAGTTGCTCCAATGTTTGGAATACAGATATACTGGTGTAGTGATTGTAACAATGCTCATACAACTAAAAGTTGACACAACTACATGCATGCGTGGTCACAGTGAATGAGATACTGGGATTAGACCTTAAATGGATCAGCTAAATAAGAAAGTTCACTTATTCTACAACTGGCAATGAGGATTCTACATTGATGAACACAAAAGTCTCGTATTTTATGAGAAAGGAAATGTCAATTTTTATAATAAGAATCGAATATTTTCATCATAACTGGGCAGTACTCCTGCCTGTACACGAGTCAGAACTGGTGGTTTAACTCTGTACTTTCATGTAGTTTTAGAGTATTATTCTTGAAATGTAAGATTGTGTGTAACCTACTAATTGGCCACTCAAGATGACCCCTTGGGGTCGAAACGCACATGGTCTATAGACATAATACTGCTCATTGTCAGTGCTAATAGTTGTTGGATATATAAACTTACACTGAGCTGCTACACTGTATGAAAGGATTTAAGTTCCAGTAAGTTTGTAATCTAGAAACGAAAGTAATGTAGCTCATGAGTTAGCATTCTAAGCTTCTGTGTCGCTCAGACATTTTGTTTGCTATTACTTTCAATTGTAAATGTGCTGAATGTTATTATCGCTAAATACATTATTATCATTATCTGTCGCAGTGTAAAGATGTTTGCGCTGTGTCAATAGCGTGTTATTTGTTTGTTGTAGGAACTTCACTATCTCCAGCGGCCAACATTGCCATCAACAAGGACACGCGCTTATTGTGTTCGAAAGCCTTTCATGGAAAAGTGCGTCGGCCGTGGGTTTGCCATTGTCACCTAAGCTGGTCCACATCAGCGACACTGCACGGCGTTACGGCGGTGACTCCGAAAATGGCTGTCTCCTCGGTTGTGTAGTGGGATACAAATTTACGAACGTTTCGGAGGTCCTTGCTGCCTCCATCATCAGGGCCCTCATCGCCCAGAAGACAACCATCTTAATACTATAGAAATTGAGTGGTTTCGACATTTAAGTGCGCTTTCTGTATTAAGTCCTACGCATGCAGCGGATCTACACCTGTAAAGACACCCCCCCCCCCCCCAGTCGTCTGCCTCGGACCTCCCTAATAAAGGAATCTCTCCGGAGAGGTCTCTCGTTATTCCTCCGGTCACAGATCCTGACAAGTATGACGTATTTTGAATGGTCCGTGTCTTGTCATTGCTTTGTATGTTCCAGCGCCATCGAAGCGGAATCGCGCTGTAGGTTCCTGAGAACACAGCCCTTTGTGCGATGTGTTCTATACATGCACGTATCATCAACAAAGAGGGTTAGATGCAGGCCTCTGGGGACAAGACGTAACCTTGTGGCAGCCCTGCTTGTATTGCTCTTGGCGTTAACAATTCAAAATTTTCTACTTGAGAGAAATGAGCTATCAGCACCATTAATTTCGTCTTGCTACTCACTGCATGACCAACATAAAGCCTCCAAAGACGCCCCATTTCATAACCACCCTGAAAATGGCAACTGAAATATTTGCCGAAACACTGGTTAACACACACCAAACATTTGACGCAGCTCTCGTCTGAAAGCCGAAGTTTTACATTCCTCATATTCTCTTACTGGACGAACTTAATAAATCTAAGAGTTCTTGACGATGGTGTTGAGTCATTTGAATAAACATTTTCTTGGATATTATCCATCGTCTAGTAAATAAAATATAAAACATAAAAATATATTATATTTTATTTACTAGACGATGGATAATATCCAAGAAAATTTTTATTCAAAGAACTTAAGAAGTTTTGACCATGCTCGCAATATGTTAGGTCACATTCCAAATCTGCTTAGCAAATAGGTCTTCCATTATTCACGTCTTCTCCCTATTTTTGTGTTGCTGAGAGGACCACATGAATCCAGCCTTGGACCTCTTGAACATTTTGAACTAACTTTGTTAAAATTAATCATTCCAAATTTAACTTATTGCTGATGATCTGAAAATATATCTAGACATAAAATCCATCAAAGACTGCAAAGGTATGAAACCTATTCATCGCCCTGATGACGGAGGCAGTATGACCTCTGAAACGTTGGTTAACATCGACCAGACTACACAGTGCAACAACCCAGAAGACGGAAATCTTCATACTCACCGCTGTGAGAACCTCAAGTCTTACGTATGAAACCTGACATTTGGTACACTAGCGGTGAGATGAAAATGTACATAATTCAACATACAGAACACTAAAATTATATCTTTCGCAAGAACAGCAGGATCCATTTAAATTACTATATCCAAGATGTCATCATTTCGTGAAGACTGCATAAAAGATCTTGGTGTTATGTTTGACAGCAAACTGTATTTTCATTGTCATGTGGCTGGTTCAAAATGTGAAATTAGACACATAATACAAACATATTCGGCATGGTGATTTTATTTTGCCACTCCTTCCCTAAGGCAGTAAAGTGGGTCAAAATTGGTGGTCCAATATGAAGGATTTTTTAAAAAATAATTTAAAAGTAGTCTATCACGTTTTCTATAAAAAAATAGTCCTAATATTCATTTAGAACATACCATAAGAAGTTTCCCATTAGTAAAGAGCAAGCTTATGTTAAAAAGTCAGATTCTGTTATCCACAGTTGCAAAATGTGCACACTTACAGGTACTTAACAATGTTTTGGAGGCACAGACTGCTTCCATCTTTAGGGTAGAATTTCTGCCACCTACAACACTACTTTTGGTGACATAATTCGTAAGACCACAAAATGAACTTTCACCACAATGAAGTCCTCAAATATCAAAATGTCAGCGGCAAAGAAGTTGCCAACTACCAAAGCCAGTAACCACTGAATAGTGCTGCAGTTCATTAGCCAGTTCTAGCAACAGCTAGAGGAGTGAGTAACTAACTAACTAGATGGCTTAGGGAACCTGAAGGTTCATCACCAAATTAACCAAACCCCTCCACCTGTCCGTTCTGGGCCAGCGAAATCCAATCGCCAATAGCTAGAGTAATATGTAATTAATTATCAGTACTACTTCACACCTAATTCTTATAAATTCATAATCATGGTAACAAACATCTCTGTCATCCTCTCAGAAAAGGTATACAAACAGATCATTCGCAACACGTTTAGACTTAAAACACAAAATTCACAAAAGCCCTTTCTTAAACTCACCACAAGACTGGCAGATTATGCACCAACTGTTGAACTGATGGTTTCAGTGAAGAGCCAGCTACGTTTTAATAAAGGACTTACGACCTCTGTGAAGGGTATCCAGTCTTATATGGTAGTGGCGCAAGTCTCAAACTCATAACGCAACAGAAGAGTTTCATCATCATCATCACCACTTACTACATGGTTAATCTAGTGCTGCCATTATGTGACTCAAAGAGAATATGGAGCCAATTATGTCTTAAATATTGAAGGAGTGGGTACTGACAAATCACATCATCTCACATTGGGGGAGGGTGGACAATTCTTCACATTACATAATCCAATGGCTCACATCTCAGGGTTGTACAACATGTGCTAAGAGAACTGCCTCACAGAGGGAGGTCAGACACATTACTGTGCAAATACATTCACTGCCTATTTTTTTCTGCTTATCTCAGGAACTCTACACATGAATAATAATAAATACTTGCACCATGCATTTAAATAGTACTTTGCTCACATCCCAGTTGCAACCAATCACACAAATTTAAGGTTTTCATCACTTTCCAAATACCTTCTGAGAAAAAGAAGTTTTGACTTGGAAACAGACCATGTTTACATGCTTCATTTATTAATCACCACTAAATATTTTATTCCAAATTTTGTATCATGAATATTTTATATATACAAAATGCACACATTCTACTTCCTGCACAGTAATTACAAAATCATTTGTCAGTCAGTTCATATCAGTTTGATGGTGACAGCACCTTCACATCGTGTTGATATGGCTTCATTAAATGGTCAGTATTTCACTATACAAATTAGGCTTTCTCATATCAGAAACCAAAGTGCAGCAGAATAGTGATGACACTTAAATTGTTCACAAGACTGCATTTCATTTCCACCACTAAAAGTAGAATCCAAAGGTCAAAATATTTTTCAGAGCACTTTATTTTTGAAGGCTTGTAATTTACATTCTGTGTTCATAATGACAAACCTTGTTTCACAGTCACACAAAATTATTCTCAACTAGACGTCCTACAGTAGTAACAGACCACAAGTTGAATGTGTATATGAGCCAATAACATGAAACCATATTATGATTTTTGTCATAACATCATGTAACAGTGCCTGAACTGGTCTCTTCTAACATGGGATGCAATTTATGAATTGGAGTTGATGAGGTAATTGGAATGAGTGGAATCCCATTACCCAGTCGACTATATGAATAGTGTGACCGTGAACCAATTACATATGTAACAACTTTCATACACGATCTAGTCACCTTGAAGACAACCATGTCTGTGGGAATACAATGGTTTGTGAAAATGGACAGTATTGTGGAATCCTTATGTGAAGTGAACTGTAGTGGTCAGAATTCTGAACAAACCACCTTAGGATGTTCATAAGATGAAGAAAGATATTACGTAAAGAAATGTGAGCAATATTCTGCAATTCTTAATGGTTACTCAGATTCTAAAGTAGGTGCAGTGAACACTTCTAGCCTATACTTCTTTCCATGATACAGAATGATATAATATTACAAAAATGCATGCAAGCCACAGAAAATACACTGATGCACCACACGTAGCTGACTGATTGAGAAAAACTATCGTAAAGCAATTAGTGATCACCCGTGAGACATGGATCTTACGAATGCAAAATTTCCAAATCACACATAGACTTAGGTCATGTACAAGTATCAGAAAGATTTGGGAATAAGGGTAGACCCTTGGGCACGGAGAACTCCAGAAAAGAAAAACAAGTGACCCACAAATGAGAAACTGTGAACTTGGGGCAAGATAAGCAGAAAACATGTGTAACAGCACAATATGTTACAAATAAATCTACCCATTACATACAGGAGTTGATTACACTACCCATTTATATTATACGAAGGCAAAAAGACCTTAATGAACACAATATTTATTTTCAAGCATTAGAAACCCATGAGGAGAGTGAAAGGAGTGTGAAACTGCATATCTCATTAAAATCTTTCAAAATGTGGCAAAGTTCAAATATTTGGGAACCTTAACAAACCATAAATGCACTAATATGGCTGTCTTCTGGGTTGCAGTGGCACAAATGCTGACTTAACAGATCAGAAGATAAAATATTACAGAACCAAACTGACATCTAACAAGTGGTGGAAATATCGTTGCATTTTGTTCTCAATGATGAAGCCAATGAACCTTAATGTTTCACATGGGGATGGACAGCAACAGCACGGCATGAAGATAATGAAGTAGCCAAGTGGAAACTCGAGTTGTCAAGAGATGGTAGGGAGAAAGCAAAGTGTTTCACATCTTACAGATGCACCCAGAACACTTCACAGCCGTCTTAAAAATGAAATGAGTGCCTAGAGACTTGGATAAGGAAAGGAGAAAAATCACCATCAAGGTGTAGGATTCAAATAGCATAAAAGCAGGAACAGTTTCCCACAATCTTCTGTTGCAACATGTTACCTGCTTCCTGTGTTGTCACAAAAACAGGAATTTTGAAGTGCATGAACATAAATTCTACATGAAACATACAAAATAGCATTTAAGTAAAAGATTCACTGTAAAATATTTTTTTTTATAAAGCAAAGTACCATTATTATAAAATGTAATTCCTGTAAAAATATTTGGCTGACAGCAGCCAAACAGAATGTGAGCCCAACCAATTAAGATGTTTTGTGGTCATATTTTTAAGAATTATGGGTATCTGCATTCTGGTCCTATCATTTTAAAGGTTGAATCTGTACAACATCCAAAAACTGTGTGCCAGTGCTTTGACCTAATCGTTCCTTACATTGTAAGTTGTTCCTTTTGTAACTTTAAGATTCGGTAATTTTGACATTAGGTTCATGCAGAATGTCTTATTATTTCATCGGGATTTTGAATTGTGGGGTGATATTGTAGTGAAAAAGGATCTGTTTTAAGACACTGCTTCAGTATTTATTTTAAGAGAATGAGAAAATTCACAGAAGACTGGCTGATATACAAATATTTATGGATGGAATGATCTCCAAACTAAAAAAGCAGTCTAGACTGAGTAAATTTTAAGTTTTGAAATTAAAGTTAATGTAAACAAAATTTAGTTATAACTCAATAGTACACATTGTTTGTTTATCACATTCAAGAGAATCTCAGTACAGTATGCATGCAATGTAACAACGTAAACAGTGTCTTCAAACATGACTTTCAAGACATTGACTACAATTCTAACATGACATATGTTTGAGCTGCTGACGATGTAAATCACTATCACGAAGGTGTTACGCATAAAGCATCATACAAAGTTTCTTGACAAAATATTTTATTCTCTAGTAGCTGTTTTATTGCTGTGCAGGAAAATATTTTGAGTTTCCTGCTAATCTTACACCATTTGCTGGCATGCTATATGACAGTACGTGCAATATGTGGAAAAATACATGTCACAGTGAAGTTAAGTGATGGAGTAACTCAGTCAGTATAGTGTTTGACAATGGATTGAGTGACCAGGTTTCAATCCCAGGCAGGGCAAACGAATTTTGCTTTAACCAGCAGACTGGCCGAGGGCCTACACAGCCCCGTACACAATGGGTACCATGGAGTAAAATATGGCCTAGGCATGATCACTCACCCCCATCTAGTGCCATGGTTATGAAGAAGCAGAAGCTATACTGCCTCTCCTAACACATGCCTCCATGGTGAGTAGTGGTGATGGCTTTACTTTTACAGAAGTTGCCAACACAACAAAGGAAGCAATAATAAGTCTCATAAAAAACTGCTGTGATCATTTATCACTGACTTCATATAAATCATCGGAGTCAACCATTTTTAAACATGATTTTAAATGTTTGCAAATAAGTATGAAATGCTACCTGGAAAATGGAAGTCAGACAATCTCAATCCCACATTTCTCATAGAAGACTCACTTCTGTTTGCACGAACAAAGAAAATACCAGACGTTGAGCCCTCAAAGAATGCAAGTCTTATGACTGCTAACACACTGCACCCAAAGAAACTTATAGTGTGGTGTCATTACCAAGTGATAAAAATTATGGATTTTACAGACATTTCTGATGTTTGCTAAGAAATTACTTTGTCTTTTGCCTGCAGGGATACTTTAATTTCAACAAGATGGAACCAGGCCTCACACTAGCAACACAGGAGAAAGCCCACTCATACCACTTCCCAGTAGTGTCATCATGGCCACCAAATCTGCCAAACGTCGAACCTTGCGAATGTGTTCATTGGGGTTAATTAAAGGACAGGGAATTTTAGAAATATCTGCATAAATTCCATGAACTGACAATTGGCATTCTGTCACAACTGAATGCATTACTAAAAAACCTTTGACCAGTTCTCTGTGTAATTTCATTATTCATTTACAAACACTTCATAGACTTCAACAATGTCATAATGAATATACTTTGTTGCAAGCAACCATTTTCCCCAGTTTATGACAGGTATGTGAAACTTTCATATGATTACATTCACTAAAGAAAAAGAACTTTCTACATGAACAATTTATACAGAGGTTTCCAGCTTCTAGAGTTTAATAAAAATAAATTTCTTAAACTTCATCACAATTTCACATACATAATTATTATTATCTAACCAATGGACACACATATGGCACAATATACAGTTCACAAGTTAAATGGAATAATAAATTAAATACATGCTGCTACCTCTCTTACATCGACATCACTAGAACTTACACAGTATTAAACAAGATTCTGTGAGATTCTTACCAAATTATACTGATATGTTCTGACATATCTGAATTCTCAAAGACTGGCTAAGCCTTACTTTAAATAGTGTTTATTCATGTAATCATTAAAGAAAATTTCTTCCCCACACAAAAGATTATTCCAGAACAAAGAATCTGATAACAGAAAAGCCACATATAAATAGGGACTCAATCATATCAAAGTATATTGTCCATTTTCTACGAAGATCTGAAATTCATCTTCAATTCTTCTATAAATGTCTGCTTCTTCGATAATTTAAAAGAACTGAAAAAAAAGAGTGTCAATCAAATATTTTGTTACCAACTGAGCTGTGGACTGTTATAGTTCAGGAAGCGTACCCACAGAAGATCGCTTGTGTTTCTATAACAGATTGTGATTCTGAACTACAGTCCCAAAATTACCAGCAGAAGCAACATGGGATGCATTTCAAATCCCATGAACCTCAGA